TCGGAGTGGCAGGTGGTCTTGAACTGCTGATCTTGTGGTTAGCAGCCCAACACGCAACCCCTACACCACCAGGGCTCCTTATGCAAAGGGGGTGGTGGTGTCAGCATTGACCGAACCAGAACCAAAGCGGCAGTCACTACGGAGCCAAATCTGACTCATAGTGCCCGCACGCATGCTGGAGCAGATGGTTCCACAGGGCTTTCGCCGGCTGTTTATCTCCAAAGCAGATCACCAGGCCTTTCTTCTGAGGCACCCCTGGGCGGGCTCGAACCTCCCACCTTTTGATGAGCAGCTAAGCACATTGCCTATTTGCACCAGCATATCGTAGGTGCTCAGTATACTCCTGCCTGACATCCTCCTGTTCCCTAAACCCAGGTTGCCCACATGTACACACACACACACACACACACACACACCGCTCCCAAGAGGAAGCCTATGTCCCAGACCCCACTTCCCAGCAGAGCCCTCTTCCTCTTTGAGATCCTGCAGAGCTGAGCTGCCAGCAGAAGCGATTTTGCAAAAACCCACTCCAAACCCGGGCTTTAAATAGCACTTGTAGCATCTGTCTGATCTCGAAGGTTCGCCACGTTCGAAACCGGAGCCCTGTGTGGCGGCAGCATCACTATTATTACCCTGGACTCAACATTGGCTGCCGCACAGTGCTTGCGATTTCCAAACAGTGTAAGCTAAGCTTTCTCTCCCCAAGCAGCTTTGAAAAAAAAGACAGTGAAAGTAGACGCCTGGAGGCCTCGGACTGCAGCCCAGCTGGGAGCTGGGAAATGCCTAAGTGAGGGAACCAGCCAGAGCTTGTGAGAAAGAAGAGAGGAGGTGAGGGCAGGGGAGGAGGGAGGAGAGAGAGAGAGAGAGAAGAGAAATGACAGAGAGAGACAAGCTGGTGGGGAGACCAGATGTGGGTCAGGGGACCCAGAGGCCCAGGTGGTCAGGATCTGGCTGTTTGGGGTGGGGGTTACCGAGCAGAGATCGGAAGGGGTTACCAGGCACTAGGAGCTGTTCGGGACGGGTGGGTTGGGAGCTCAGGGGTTGAGGATTTTCATAGGGGTCAGGGGCCAGGATTTCCAGAGGACTCATCTTCCCCTCAGATCCAGGAGGTACGTATGGTGCTGGTGCGATATTTTTGGGACTCACATCCCCCCCAAATGGTCTTCATTTCTTTACAAATTGGAGAGAAAAAAAATAGGTCTGTGAGTCCGAGAGCGGCTTTGGTTGGTCAGGCTGGAGGCTCCGTCTCTGTATCTTTATGCAGACGGGTTGTGCCCGCATAGCAGGGCCAGCTGGCAGGGCTCTCCTAGAGGGTGAGGTGCGGAGGGGGTTCTGGTAGCCACACCATGGGACTGCTAACCACAAGGTTAGCAGTTCAAATCCACCAGCTGCTCTGCAGGAGAAAGACTGGGCTTTTTACTCCTGAAATAGATTTCCAGCCTCGGACAGAGTTCTCTGCCCTCCAGGGTCACCGTGAGCTGGAGTGGACTCGATGGCAGTGGGTTTGAGGGGCTCTGGTGGGCTATGGAGTGGAGGTCATTCCCGAGAAGGACAGTCGACTAGCCAAGAGGTCTTGACTGCTCTGAAAGGCCCCGGAGTCTGACAAGACAGAGGGCCAGCGGGAAGGAAGAAGCCCTCCGAGGGGCGGACCGAGGCAGTGGACGGAGCTCACAGCAATGGGTCCAAGCCCACCCACATGCCTGTCTCTGCTGTTGCAGGTGGGCCGCCATGAGGCTCCGTACACGCCCACCATACACTCTGTGTCAATCCGCACCCTTGAATGTGCGGATAATGCCTTTCTGATGCGGCCCGTTGTCCAGCTATCTGACACGGTTCCACGATGTGCAGTGGCTAAGCCCTCTGAAGGGGACGGCCCACTCGTTGTTCAGTCTGTTCTCAGTCTGGAAGCTCCACTGGAACTGGCTCCCCTTGGAGCTGAATGAAGGTGCAAGTGTGTACAGGGTCCCATAGGGGAGAGAGGAGGGTGGAGTTCCCAGTGTGTGTGTGTGTGTGTGTGTGTGTTCCCCCCAGGTGTGCTGGCCAGCCTGCCTGCCTCTCTTTCTGCGCTCAGGTGGCCCCGAGTGTGAGGGGTGACCCTCATGCCCGTCAGCTGGATGGTGAGAAGTAGCATGAGGTCCACACCCAGCCCACACCAACGGATGTGACCTGGAGGTGACCGCCGAGGCCAGCCAGAGGTCCACAGAAACACTGCAGGCCATGCTGGGGGCTCTGGGACGAGAGCTCTCAGCCTGACGTCTGGGGGGATTGGAGCTATGCCAGCAGACAGCTGTGACTATGCGACAGATCCTAGCAGAAGCAGAAGTGTGGACACCACAGACCACCCCGCCCGTCATGGGGTCCTGGCCTGGACCCTCTGCCAGCTCTACCAGCAAGGCTGAAGGGATGACGCCGGCTGCTCACGGCTGGTCACCACTTCCCCTGGAACCATGCACCCTGGACACCGGCTCGCTTCAGGACAAACCCCCCACGCCCTCCCACAGCTTATCCCCACAAGGTAATAGGCTGTATGGCCCTCACTCCCCTGGCTCCAAGCTCCCCAGACGCCTCGGGAAGGAGGTTTAATTTCCAGTGCCTGCCGTGATTGATGAGGCTGCATTCGATTACCAGGGTATTGATCTCCCCGCAGCTGGCCAGTGAGCTTGCTGGGAGTCGTTATTTTATTATGAAGTCGACCGCCTTCCTTTTCCAGCCCAGACACGGGGACCCCGGCTCGGGCTCGGACTCTGGGCCCAGAGAGGAGACGGAGTCTGTGTGTGTGTCTGCAGCACATATGCAGACATACACACACATACATACACACACACCATGGGGCATGGAACCACCGCCACACCCCCACGCTCCACCAGCATCCACTCTCCTGATGTTTTCACTACTCCCCTCTTGTTAGCGCCACACACCCCCCACTCCTCCTGAGCCCCCCTGCCGCTGCCATGGGAGAGGGTGGCCATGACACAGCTAAGTCAGAGCAGAGGACAACTCTGCCTGCACCTGAACACCTGAAGGTACTCGTTCACACCATAGGGAAAGGTGGTTTGTATTTACGAGTTGAGCAACTAACTGCAAGGTCAGCAGTTCGAAAACACCAGCTGCTCTGAGGGAGAAAGATGAGGCTGTAAGGAGTTAGTCTTGGAAGCACACAAGGGCAGTTCCACCTTGCTCCCTAGGGCTGCTATGGTCAGAATCCACTTGATGGTGGTGAGTTTTTTTTGTTTTTGTTTGTTTTACTATGTAAAATAAACAAGCCCTGGTGGTGCTGTGGGTTAGGCGCTGGGCTGCTAACCTCAAAGTATGTGGTTCAAACCCACCAGCCACCCCTCAGGAGA